ACATACATATATATATTAAATATATTTGGTATATGAAAATATATCATATGTGTTTAACTTACATAATTGAAATTGGTATATATAATTATATTTAAGTGTACAACGGCTTAAATGAAATGAAATCAATAGAATTCGTTTATAAAAAATACTCAAATATAACTAATATTTTTTTGATTATTTCGAACAAAATTATATCAATTGTTTTCATTTAATATGAATAATTAAAAATGTTTCGAATATAATTTTATATAAATAAAAACACAAACATATATATTTGTTTACAAATACATATTAAAAATAATTAAAAAATAATTATTTCAAATAATAGTATAATGAAATTATTTTTAAAATTTGAATAAAAAAATATTTCGAACATAACTTCGAATTTGAATATATTTATTTATATTGCCTATCAAATCCTAAATGTTAGTTACAGCTTATATCACAACGATGTGGGCTTGTGGTCAACAAAGAGCAGAAAGGAAGAATGTGAAACCAAATATATATAAACATAGTTATATATATATATATATACTTTATATAAAATAAAGTGATATATATTAATTACATATATATTTGATTAATATTTAGTTCGTTTCTACTTACAACAATTCGCCCATCAAAAGAATTTTAAAATTTTATATAATATTAAGAATTCTTGCCTTACAATAATAGTAATTATATATAATAATAATATAATATATAATAAAGTTTAAAGCAAAACAAAATCAAAAATTTTTTCGAAACAAATTTCTTCTATTATTTAAAAAATTAAGGATTATTAATGTTTTATCAACTATTAGGATATTACAGTTTTTATTAGTTTTAAGTTTATTTAAATAATGCGCACAGTACCCAATGCTTTAAGGACGCGATTGTTTCAAATATAATATAAATATATATATGTATGTATATAACTTGAATTATTTATAAATAAAAATATTAAGAAACAAATTAAATAAAAATATAACTATTTTTTGTGAATTATGTATAAGCAACGTTCAACCTAAAATTTGGCATTAGTATTTATGTAGGACAATTTTATCAGGATTTTTTTTTTTTGGTAAATTCACCGCTCTCTGCCGTAGTCCGTCTAAAAAGTATTTACACAGCAACGAAATCTAATGCTCTTGCAGGCTTAACTTTAAAACTTGTTCCAGCATTTCCTCCTCACGTTTACGGTCTAACTCGTATTGCTGTTGATCTTGACGACTGAGACGCAAAGCCATCGCTAAATCCGGATCCATGAACCGAAAGCCGCCATCATCATCGTCTGATGTTGGTGATGAAGTGACGCGAGCACCACATAATGATTCTTGCAGCACTCTATATATAAATAAATTGAAAAGAAAACATTGCAGAGGATATTTAAAGGATCATCTACTACTTAGGAAATACTACAACTATAAGGATATGCAAAGAAAATAAAATCAAATTTTAAACTTTATTTATATAAAAAGAAAGCGTTAACTATTTAAAAATTTTCTTCATATAATTTATGTCATTTTTAAATTGATTTGCTTGGGTCGGTGTTGTTGATACCGAGCTATTGGTATTAGCTTGATAACGTGCACGAGAGTCCAAACTGTTCGGCGTTAAACGACCACTCAAGGCGGTGGAGGTAGTTGTTATAACTCGTTGGTTTCCTTGAGTGATATTGTTTGACGTTAAACGATTTGGCTGCGCACGTTGAGCATAAGAAAATCTACTTGGAGTTAGTCTAGCATTTTTGAACAGATTTAAAGCGTTGAAAAAAATTATATATTAATCGTACGAATATACAATTCAAAATGTTTTTTATTTATACTCAAATTTAAAAAGTTTTCTAAAATTACAATGGTATATTTTTACCTCTGCATTTGTTCATCTTCTTCTGTTAGTACATTTGAATCAGCACCAACTGCTTGCCCACGTAAAGCTTCCCATATATCAACTCTTTCTGTTTCGGAACCCTCCGCTATACCACATGCACCTCCACTTGTCTCTACCAAACTTTTTTCGATGGCATATTGCAACATATCATCTTCTTCAAGCGGTAATTGACGTCGTGTATCGGCATCTATGAAGAAAATAGTTTTAAAGAATTTTTACAACAATATATTTAAAAATCAATAAATAATAGTAACATAAAAAAAAATATCTACTCTAAGATCTTATGTGTTGTAGTTTTTGTTATAGTAACTGGAGAACATAGCCACCTCTTTCAATAAGTCAAAGATTATAAGAACTAATGGAGAATATCATGCAGATAGACCTGCAATTAAAACTCCGGTTCCAATAACGGCTGGATTTACATACCAGAGTGTCTTGAAAATTACTACCTCCAAATGTTGGTAACCATTCCCAGAAGAAATCATATCAGCAGATTTAAAGTCAACCGTAAATTATAAACAATAAGTGCCGGTAACTAATCCCAAAAGAGTATAATCAATCAAACACCAGTATAATCAAGTTCAAAGTTGGTTACTCTAACAAAAACTATATAAAAACTATATATATATATATAAATTCTTACCTCGATTTGTGTAGTGACTTGGTATATCAAAACAGCGATCATCAACAATGCATGTAATGCGATCATCTTCATTAATCGTTGTAACATTATCAACAGGTGTCGTTAGCGCAAATACATTACCGAAAGTAATGCATGCATTTAAAACATGGAAGAGTGGTATTTCAACTTTAACTGGAAAACCCGATGGCAGTTGCATTGTAATAAAGTCTTTTAATTTGGAAACATGTGGACTAGCCATTGCAGACATTAAATCCAATATAGGAAGCACTTGCTCTTGTAAACGTATCGGATAGTCTTCAGATAGCCAAAGATTCGCCTTGAAGCGTTGCACCTTAAATTAAAAAAATTATATATTATTAATTTTAAAAATAATATTTGTTAATTTTAAAAATATTATTTGTTAATATTAAAAATAATACTTGTTAATTTTAAAAATATTATTTGTAAATATTAAAAATATTTGTTAATTTTAAAAATATTATTTCTTAATTTTAAAAATAATATAACAAAATTAGTGTTTTTATTTACATAAAAAAAAATCTAATGCATATTCGTGCATATGATTGTTTGAAATTAATTATATATATGGAATTAAATCTTATATATACCTTCGTAGTCACTTTTTTTGGTCTTCCAATATCACGTCCACCTAAATCAATTTCTGAAAAATATTCTTCAGGCGTAATGTCATGTCTGGAAGCCGCGCTACCGGAACTATTACTCGCGGAGTCTTCTTCTTCGACTTGATGCTCATTATTTTCTATCATTTGTGGTGTCGGCGTCTAAAAAATATATAGAATATTAAAGAAAATAGAATTGAATATACTTTGAGAAGCTTACTCTAACTGTTTCAGTATTCGGCACATATTCATCATCAGCAATACCAAGAAAACTGTGAAGTGGCGTACGCGCTTGTTTAATCTATAATATAACAAAATATTTTGATTAAAATTTTTATATATATTTAAAAAAAGTTATATTTAAAGTTTTTAATAAAAATTTATTTTAAATTAATATTCATTTTAAAAGTTAAAATATAATTTAATAGTCTTAAATTATTTTAGACAATTATTATAACTATTTTTAATGAGAGCAATATGAATATAATCTAAAAGAAACTTATTTTAAATTCTATTATTTTGCTAAAACTACTTTTTTTTGTTTTCATATATTTTATAGGCTTATTTAATTTTATTTATAATGAATAACATAATGTATAATTATTATTATTCATAATTAATAATTAATGTTAATAATAGGCAGCACTTTTTGGGTGTCATTCTAACACACAACAAGTATGTTAACATATTATCAATTTAGATTCTAAGTGATATTCTATAATTTTTGTAAGTACCATATGAATTTTTTTTTTTAATCAATAACAAATAATAATAATAGTAGTATACCCTTATTTGTTCCTCGCTGAGATGATCCATACGCGTTTTTGTGACAAATTCTACATTACTAGCACCGTAAACCTTGCAATTATAACCACTGATATGTTCAGACTTTTCACTTCGCCAACCCCAAATACCGGATTTATTTCGTTCGAAACTGATTCTTGCCATTTCGATGTTATTTGTGATGACGGGCGCATTAAGCCTTGCTCTTACAGCGCCTATTGGAGGTGGTATGCCTATTATGTCACCAATTTCATTATTCATTTCTTCTATCATAACTTCGCTTGTTTCATGATCAATTTCGATCATAGTTGCAGTGTCCTCTGTGAAAACAAATTAAAAATAATTATCAATTATTAAATTTATTTGATAATTCTATACTAACTTGAGCCTTTGAAAATGTATGACCGATTCCCCCGTTGCCATTGATTGCTATCGAAACCTAATAAAGTTGTATCAATGCGTACGTTAGCACCACGCTTATATACTTTATATGTATCACTAGGACAATATCTAGTCATTAATGGCACTATAAACAATAGGAAAAATAACATTTAAATAATATAATGATAATAATAATTAAGAAATGATTTTAATATTACCCCATGAAGTGAACTCCCATTTCATTTCAATATAAAAATCGGGAGCATCCAATAAATATTGCAGCAATTTTGGTACATGCGTCACACGTTGTACATGCCTTTGCAAATCTCTCACCTCTAGGATGGCTGTTAATATTTCTTCATCGCCCGAACACACGGCCTCTTGTACAACTAAAATGGCACAACATTTTTTTAGTTATTTAGCTAATTATACGCCACTAATTATACATATAGTATACAAATTGCTAATACTCACTTGACCAACCCTCAAACTCATAGGTGGCATTGCATTTGGCAGCTAAAAGGCACTTAACGCATTGTATATGTGATAATTTGACGGCCAACATGAGCGGTGTGCGACCCCTCGGATCGATTTTTTCCTTATCAATCTGCAAGATAATTAAGTATATGTATGTTATTTGCTAAAATAATGATCATTAACAATATGATTATCGTTAGTAGCTAATCGCTTGTAAAACAAACAGAAGTTACGCCAGTGTTTTCTGTACAGGATGTTGACTTTAACTCCAATTAAATTTGTTTTTTTAATTGTTTACTGCCCATAGCCAAATTAGCAATAGTACATTGACGTTGTTTTGCTTCGCTTACAAATGTATATTTTACCACACCCTAATTAAATTAACCGCTTTGGCACGCTTTTAGTTAGGAGTGTGTAATTATTTTTTACCTGTTCATTTTTTAAGGTTCTCTTCAGCTCATCCACATTATTGTTCCAGACATGCCAATGCAATGGATATTCTGCTTTTATATCGTTCAACGACATCACGCTCATGATATGATATGATATATGTAAATATACAAGTTAAAAACTTAACACGATAATTTAATACTAAATTTTGCTTAATTAGCTGCAAAGTAAGCGCACAATAGACGACAGCGCAGAGCAAACACGTCAAAATCTATTCGAAATTTAGTCCAACACGCCAACAGCTCCCAAACTTTTTTGTTCAATTTATTTGTAATTCGTTTTAATGCATGGCTTTACTTTAGATTATAACAATAAATTTTGCATTAACTATTTTTGATTATTGTTTATTATGTCTGAGTCACTTTTATTGCCCGCTGCTACTGCTGCTATTATTATTTTGTTTGTAATTTTGCAATTTTTAACAACTATGACATTTTTTATGCCTTTTTCTCATTTCGCTGCCAGTGTGTGACTGATGTAGATAATGCAGATAAATATGAAGCAGATAAACTGACAAGTAACTACCGCGAAATGTCAAAAATATTGAAAAAAATAAATTTCATATATGCAAAATAATTTTATAAATAAAAAGTATGTTAACTATTAAAAACATTAATAATAAATAATGCAATTATATTAGAATTTCCCAGCCAAAATATATTAAAATTTAATGTGAACAAAAAAATATGACAGCCAATCACAGTTAAAAGCAAATTTTATATAAACATAAATTTCTGGCTATACTGTTTATGTGATAATAAAAATAATAGTGTTAATATATTAATATATATATTAGACTTGAACTTATCTTACACGAAACAGCAATGTTTTCTTAAGAAAATTTTCAGAACTCAAAATAACCGACAATTTTTTTTAATTTGCTTTTAAATATGGTTTGCCGCTATATTATTTCATCCCTTACAGTTACATTGCTTCATATAATTAATAAAAAACTTACTTCACTTATCATACTCTGAATTTATTTATATCTTCCCTATAATACTATATTCAGACAGACAAATTTCCTTAATTTCGTTAAATTGAAATTAAGTTAATTTGGAAAGTGTTCACACAAACACAACTGTTCACACTGCCACAAATGAAGAAAATCTTATATTTTTGGTTTACAAATCGCCTATTAAAAATTACATGCTGAAAACACCATTTGTATCTGCGAAATTTTAAAAGTTGATTACTAGAACTATAAAGGATGGCATTCATTAGTTTTATTAGCTTTAGCGAATTACAGGTATGTGAATTATTATTTTTCATTCAAAAATTTGCACTATTATCAAAATATATTCCCGGTTTTACTAAAGTCAGCTGTTTTTTAAATAAATGTCACTTTTTGAATTTATCTTTTGCTTAAAATTTATCTTATGCATAGTTGCATTTCAAATATCCTTTAATTTCAGAATTCGCTTCAAAGAAATTAAGGCCATTTTCTTTAATTTCATTCTTCACCTTAAAACTAAATTTTGTGTAGAAAAAACAACTTAATTTATTTGAAACGAATACGAGATAAAGATTTTTGCGAAATTAAGGTGTGTCTAAACATAATATTCATTTCAATGAAATTAAGGGCATTTTTTACAATTTCATTCTGACCTTAAAACTAAAACATATAATTTCATTGAAATAAAGACAAAATTAAGATTATTGCAAAATTAAATTGTTTCTGAACATATTATTAATATACTATAAAATACTCTCCTTCAAGTCTGGTTTAAATATATATAGTAAATAAGTATTTACTATTTAGTGAACTCGTACAGACAAAAAATTTTACTTCGAAAGATTTTATTTTTTTGTGATGTTTGTTATTTTTTTTGTTCTTTGCTTTGTTTCGTTATTTGCTAATTGAACTTTCGTATTATAAACATTTAATTTTAGTTGTTCAATCATCGCCAATTATGGTCTGTTTATATATTTATAAATATATGTAAGCAATTCTAAAAATTATAGCGTTATAAGACAACAATCAAATTTTTATATAATTAAAAATTAAAGCATTTCAAAATAATAAATTCAAAAGTACATTTACTATCATCTAAACAAATTGATTCAAACAATAATTTCAGTTAAAAGAAATTCGCCGTAAAAATCTTAACAACCCTGTTTTACTTTAGTATGTCATAACAATTCTGTCAAAATATTATTACGCGAAAAATCATCTGGAAAAGTTAAGTGTAGTAAAAATCTTTGCAGAAAAATGTAAAATAATTAGATTATCGTGCTAATTTCTACTATGATTATCGAAGATTACTTAACGAATAAAAAACAATACATATTATTCAAAATTTAAAAATATAAACTATATTGTTTATTCCTAATGTAAAATTTTTAAAGTAAAAATATCCTATCACAACAATAATTTTCATGCAATAACAATTGTTTATATACGCAAATAAGTAATGCAATTGAATCGATCAAGCAGTAATTATCAACATATAATATAAAAAGTAAGTATAAAACTTTTAGTTTAGCAATATATATCTTAAAATGACTGACATCACAACGGTGCCCTCTCCTGTAGATATTGTAAAATTGCCAAAAAAAATTTCAATAAGAAAACAACAACAACAACAACTGCGGTATATACAGGCCATAATAACGCACTGGGGAAGCAATTATAATTTATTCACTCTCGTTTGGCATTGAATTGCAAAAATTATTTCTTTTCAAATAATTAGTCAAACAATTATCAGAATTATTGTTGTGGTGCTTTGAAATGTTTTTAGTGTCATAAATAGGTAAGAACTCAAATTTTGTGCCGGTTAATTTAATCACACTAATTTCATGTGCAATAAAAATGAATTGTAATAAAATAAATTTTGGGATATATCAAAAAATTAAAATAATTATTATTTTCAACAACCATCTTCAGAAACTTTAATTTGAAGTACACCATAAAGATCATAAAAAATTCCATATCCATTTTGTTGTTTATATACTCCATTTATATCCCATCAGTTCCAAGACACCTTTATCTTCTGTGTTTCTAACAGATGTATGTGAAAAAAGTGTAGGGTGAATTGACAGCCTGTTTTACAGGAAAACCTACTCAAAATTCAAGGGATTCAAAAACCCATGTATGTCCAAAGTCAAGTATTAGTCTTGATCGTTACAAAAGCCAAGTAATCTTCAGAGATAGATTACCAGTTATGATCATTTATATCATATACCAGTGTTCTTAAATTTCAATCACTTCTGGTGATTAACACAAATAAATTCTTACGATAGACTTGATCACTTCAGTTTTAAGAGATAATAATGTTCAGGGGTTATTCTCGATTTTATTCTCGAGATTTCATTCTCGATTAGTTACAATTTACACTATAATATTTTACTATTAATTTCGATAAATATACACCATTTAATCGCCATACAAAATCCAAAAGAGTGTGTATTTTTAAAAATCCTTCATTTAGACAATAAAACATTCCAATGTGTAAATCATGGATGCAAGTTTTAATAAAAACAACGAGAATATAAAGCCAAGAAACAAAACAAATTTTAAACAAAGATTAAGAGAAATAATATAAACCTATTTTCCCGTTGCAAACAGCGATTAATTGACGAGTGTTTTCGGGACATAGATCTTGAAACCTCACTCTTACAGTAGTAGATCCCAGTAACAGCCTATTTTAAGTAGACAACACTCACGAGTGGTTTAAGTATATTCTGTAGTCCTTGGAATCTAACTCTTACTATAGTAGATTCTATTCACCCTATTTATCAGTAACAGTAACAGCCTATTCTAAGTAGACGAGGCCTTTTGATATTTTCACATAATGCCGACTGTATTCAAAGTATGGGAATATGGCTTGGTTTTCATTAGAACCTGAAATGCCACAAGTGTGCCATCTTATTGATATATATCTGTTTATATATAATTTTTAAAAGGTTTACAGTTTAGAACTTTCAATGTATTAGAAACATTTTGATATAATACAGGGTTAAGCGATTGAAGTGTTACATAGGTATATCTGTCAAACTGATACAGCCAACTGTGTGAAATTCATACGAATGAATTATTCCATCTGGGTGATTTTGGAGAGCAAGGTGAGGACTAAAAAATATGTCAGTATAGATGCGCTAAAGAAAGTCATTATTCAGGAATGGGCCAAAATACCGGAAGATCACATTCGTGAAGCATGCAATTTATTTTTTAACCGTTTGAAGGCCATAGCCAAGGCAAGGGGTAAATAGATTCTGTAATTTTTATTACTTCCACAAATTTTTATAATTCGAATCAATAAAAAATAATTTTACACAAAAAGGATCGGTCGCTTAAATAGGTAACAATCGCCTATCTCTGTAGTTACTATTAGAACTTCTCCATCATATTGCAATATTATTATTATGAAATATTATTTATTTATATATTTTTATGACAATCTTAATTGAAGAATATTAAAATTTTCAATGCGACTAAATATGGCCTACGTGCCAGACAAAAATAACAACTGTAATTAAATTTGACCAAAAAAGGGGGGGAGGGTGTGGTAATATATTTAATAAGAGACATTTGTTCCTTCTGCAACATAATTTTAAAATGTTTGTTCGACAAACAATTGAGGAGTTCAATTTCCTGCAATAGTTTGTCTAGTGTTTTGGTCACTTACTGATACTATAGCAACTTTCAAAAGTTCTAGAGTTAAATAGGTGAATTTTAAATGATAGTGTCCTTGAATTTACTCTAATTATCTATTTAATGTTTATTAACATGTGAATTAGTTTAAGTTTTTCCCTGGTGAAAGTTAGAATATGAAAATATATTGATTTTCTCCTGCATATGTAGTTGACAACACATGAACTTAATATTGTACATTAAATAAAACTGCACCTATGCTAACTTCATTGTATGAGTATATATAGCATTTCTAAAACCTTCGTTTAGTTACTATTTATTACCTTGACTTAATTTAACTCAATTTTTTATTGTTAATTTCGCTAATATAGTTTAAACTTTACTTATTTTACAGGTTATTCAACGGATGAGATGTTCGATTATAGTGTTTGTAAAATGCAATCAAGTTGATCCAATCTATTAGATTGTGTTTAACTTGGATATTACCTCTCCAATATTATATAATACTCATTTATTTTTTACAAGAAAAGAAAGAAGATTAAAGATATAAATAAACATATTCAAAAGGTATGTAAAAAAACAAAAAAAATGTAACAATTCTATAAACTTGTCTTCAGGTATCTGGATATACATTACGAAGTATACCCTAACATAGTCACTTATCCGACGTTGAAATATTATAGTAGTAATTAGTCAGTAAAAAACTAAGTCAATTTGAAAGAGTTTTTCAATGGTCTTCATATATGTGAACTTAGGTTTTAAGGTGTAACCTAACAAAGTTTGAAAGTTAAGGGTTATTTCTTAGGACCCTTCTTAAAAAAGTATTTAGGTATTTAGGCGAAATAAAAATATATTGAAACCAATTTAAGTTCAGTTATTTGCTCATATTGTTTTATAGTGTACTCCCCCTTCTCTTCTCTCTTCAAGTTACATTATTTATCTTCACATTTCAAGTCCTGGATGAATTTAATTTTATTAATGTTTAGGGTGTTTGTACTG